TGTTTTTTTCTTTTTGTTTTTATTTATTTTTATTTTACATTCACCCGTAGGTTGAACCAATTTGAGCCATATTAACCCCTTCTTGATACCCTACATTTAAAGCTTTAGAGCTATTTTTCTAGGTTTATTTTGAAGGCGTTTTACATTTGTTAAGCCCTATGAGTGTGAATGATGTTGAAAAAAAAAAGAAAGAAAAAAAAGAGAAAAGAAGGGAGATTATGAGAAAGAAAAGGAAGGAAGAAGAAAAAAAAAGGAAGAAAAGAAATATGGTCTTAAAGGCCTTTGAAAAAAATAGAGAAGTCTTCCATTTTATTTTTATTTAATCCCTTCCTCTTTGTGTGAAGAAAAAAAAAAGAAGGAAAAAATGAGGCAAAGAAAGAATAAAGGGCTATGTTCATAATTGTATGGAGATTGGAGGAAATAAGGTTGGATTGAACCGACATTTGAATGTGTAGTGGGATTAGGATTTGTTTATTTTGAGCACCACATTCCCAAAATACGTCGTCTAACCCTTATTTATCGAGCTTACCTAATATGGATTTCATGATTTTCGTGTTTGCATCAATCACTAAGAGTGGAGAAAGTTGCATTGCTAGCCTAAAGAGGCCGGTTGTGTGAAGTTGATATGCATGCTATGCTTAGGTTGAGTGGCTTCATTTTTCACCCCGAAAACACATGAACGTTATTGTTTTTATTTTTCACAACTAAAGTGAGAACTATTCATGTTTGTGTGAGTAGGTATGGGGAGATGTGTGGTAAGATTGGTTGTCAAGTCCAAGTATATGAGATGAATGGTGGTTTTTGTGCAAGTTGACTCTTGATTTCGTTTTTATCGTGGTTTTGAACTTGATGGCACATTGTGATTGTTTGAGGAGTTTTCATTCTCCTCCCTTGTGATTCATGGTTAAATGCTTGAGGACAAGCATTAGTCTAGCTTGGGGGAGTTTGATAAGTCGTGTTTTGTGCGTATTTATTAGCTTATTTTTGGTTAGTTTTATTAGGTTAGTCGAGTGTTTTAGTCCATTTTGGTGTAATTTGGTTTAGTTTCGATGATTCGATGCTTTTATGGGTAGTTTCGTTGTTTTTGATGTATTTCAGGATTAACGGAGCTAATTGAGTGAAAATGAAGCAAAACGTTGATGAAATACTTGACGAATATGACATCTGTTCACTATTATGCTCATAACTTTTGTTATACAAATGATAATGGAGTGATTCAAATTTCATTGGAAATTAGACTTGAAGACCTTTCCAACGATATATTACACGCCTCAAACAAAGCTCGGATATGAAGTTATGACTGATTTAAGATGAGTGATACGCGCAGCAGAGCAGGCACGTCCGTGCCCAGCATCAGGCACGTCCGTGCCCAGCATCAGGCACGTCCGTGCCTGGAAGACAGACTCAGCAGCGTTTTTATTTTTAGAGAGGCACGTCCGTGCCTCACACTAGGCACGTCTGTGCCTCCTGGAATCCTAATGCGCCAAAGCTTGGAGTGAAATCTTATCTTTTTAGGTTTATTTATATACTCTTTTAGGCTTTGTTTTAATTCATTCATTAGTTAATTAAGCATTGTTTTATTTTATTTTTTATTTTCTCCTTAAGAACTAGTTCTCCATCTATTTTCTAAGTTTTGTAATTCAAGATTCAAGATTCAAGGTTTTTACCTTCAATTTTATTCAAAATTCGGTATTTGTTTTTCATCCTTTGTTATTAAATTATGTTTTCATTATTTATTATTGTTTTTGTTTCTATAATCATGTGTGAGTAGATTCTTTAATTCAAGATCTAGTGTAGCCCAAATATTATTGATGCATGAATTAAATCTTTAAATTCTTTAACAACTTTAACAATTGAATTGCTAAATTGATTGTGATTATGCCAATGCTAGGTTAGACGTAACTATAGTATTGCGATTATTCCATTGTTTTTATCACAGTGAGAGTTGGGTATAAACGGATTTGAGTAAATTAATTTAGGGTTTGATTCATAACACGAGAGTAGTTATGTTTAATAATTGGGAAGTGAGAGTAACGTGTTTAATGTCTCTAATATGCATGATACCATGAGAATATGATTGATTGTATGTTAGGGAAGCCATTGATACTCGAGAGAGATCCTTGGTATTTATTAGGGTTTACTTTTCCCCGTTCGATTGAAATCATATGTTAAGGGTAGAATTACAATTGCATCGATAATAATTGTGGTGAAACTAGATCTTGGATGTTTTAAGTACTTGATTTAATCATCTTATTTAGCTTATTTTCGAATTCTTCTCATACTTAGTTCCGTAGATAATTGATTATAATTGATTCTTGCTTAGTAGAAATTCGAGTTTATTTAATTATTTTTGAACCTTAGTCTCTTTGGATCCGACCCTTACTTGCCAGTCTACATTAGTATTGGTCTGTTAGGTTATTTTTGATAGGTACGCGACACGCCTACCAGATTCTTCATTCAATGAGGAAAAAATCAGGCCTCAAAGCTTGGTTTTGCCTCAAGATTGATCTAGAAAAGGCTTATGATATGTTGGAATGGCCTTTCATAAAGTTTTACCTAACTAGATATGGGTTTGATAACAACTCAATCTCTCTGATTATGAATTGTATCTATAATCTTTCTTTCCAAATCCTAGTCAATGGCAAACCTTCAAACCCTTTTCCCGCTTCTAGGGGCATCAGACAGGGATCCTCTGTCCCCGTATATCTTTGTAATCTGCATGAATTTCCTCTCCTTTCTTATTGAATCTGCCTGTCAATAGGGAACTTGGAAACCTTTTAGATTCAGGAATAATAGCACTACCATTTCTCACCAGCTGTTTGCTGATGACTTGCTTCTGTTTGGTGAGGCAACCCCTGAAACCCTTATTGGCCTTCAGGATACTCTTGATGCTTTCTGGGCTATATCTGGACATTGCATTAATCCATCTAAGAGCAAGCTTTATTTTTCTAAGAATGCCCCCCTTCTCTATTGATCTGTTTAGCTCAAGTCTAGGGGTACCTGTAAGTAAGGACTTAGGTACTTATTTGGGTTTTCCCCTCTCTGATAAAAGACTAACAAAATCCCAACTAAACCATATCATCCAGAAGATCGGAAACAACCTCAATAGCTAAAAAGCTAAACACCTGTCCAAAGCAGGCAGAGCAGTTCTGATCAAATCCACCCTCTTCTCTATTCCTGCCTATACCATGCAAGCAATTTGTATTCCCAAAAAGATTGCTTCTCAAATTGATCAAATGTGTGCCCAGTTTTTCTTGGGGGCTTCTTCGGACTCTAAGAAAGTCCCTTGATTGTTTGGGACAAGCTATGCTATCCCAAAGACAAAGGAGGACTAAACTTTAGAGTCTCTCATCTGCAAAATAGGGTCTCAATGGCCAAGCTTTAATTTGCTGGAAGCTTCAAAATTCTGATAATTTTTAAGCAACCATCATTAGAGAGAAGTACTGCCTTAAGGCCTCTGTCACTCCCTTCAATAGGGGTTCACATATATGACAAGATGCTGGGAAAGGGTGGGAAATTCTTACTCACTTCTCTCAATGGGGGATAAGAAAAGGAGACCAATGCACATTCGGGCATGATAATTGACTGGGTTAGGTAGTCTCAGATCTCACATAGCTGCGCTGGTCCCCTGCCCATGGGTGAAGATGGGAGATTAGTCCAATCCATTCTTAGGAATGGAAAAGTGGATCTATCCCAAAATTCCATTTCCCACTTTCTTCCCACCAATATCTTTATATTTCTCTCCAAAATGACCCTGCCTTGCCATGGAAATGATTTCATTTTCTCAGCTTTAGGGAAAGGTGGCTATTTTGATGGTTAAACAACTTATAACCACCTTTGGGATACCACTCACCCTGCTGCTTCTGATAGCAGCTTCAATCCCTCCTTCTTGAACCTCAACATCCCCCCGGCCTTCCGCTAAATTTTTCCCATGGCTATGCCTTTGGGATAGGCTTCCTAGAATTAATCATCTCAACTACAGGCACATTATAACCTCAGGCTCCTGCTGTTTCTGTCCAGGCATGAAGGAAACTACCCTGCACATCTTTAGGGACTACCATAGAGCTACTGGAGTTTGGAACATTGTCAAACCCCCCATTGTTAACCCAAACTTGACCATCAAAGAGTGGTGGAATGAAAACTTAAGCAATGCTTCTATGCACCCTTTTCTAAACCTACCCTGGAATGAATCCTTTGCTATCATTACATGGAGACTTTGGTTAAGAAGGAATGAATGGGTGTTCAACAAAAAATCTCTCACCCCTGAAAAATGGACAACTTCTTTGAAACATTTGGCAAGTGAATTCAGTTTACTTGGACCAACAATTTCCCACCATCAGAGACCTACCAATCACCACAACCAACCTTTGGATCACAACTTTAACATTTTTGTGCATACTTCTTTTCAACCCCATACTATGGAGGCTGGGATTTCTTGTATTTGTAAGAAAAAGCAGGGGAGCTGGATGAAAGGCATTGTTGTTCATACAAGCTCAACTTCAGCCCTCATGGCTGAAACCTTGGCTATATTAGCAGTTGTAGCTTGGGCTATTAAGGAGAAATGGGATGATGTTCACTTCCACTCTGACTGTTTAAGGGTTGTGCCTGGAAGTAACAAATCTGTGATTGGTTCTGATGAAATGGAGAATTACTACTCTTAATGCAGGGACCTGATCTCAACCGTAGGAAGGGTAAAGTTGTCCAAGGCCACAAGGGTAGCAGTAAGGGAAGCAAATGTGGCGGCCAGGCTAGGGGCGGAAGCTGTGTTGGTTCACTAGGCGAAAAATACAAATGGGCACCGGTTCAAAACCCTCATTTAGCATCGGTTTTGAACTTTTAGCACCGGTGCAAAAAATGGCCCAAAAACAAAAAAAAAAAAACAAAACCGGTGCCAAAAATGTCCCAAAAAATAATTTTTTTTTTTTTTTTTTTTTTTTTTGCATTTTTTTCATTAAAATTGATATAGAAACACTAACATATATATAAAGTTACATATTTTCATTAAAAAAGGCTGTAATATTACAATTTTCGTCCAAAAAAATAAAATAAAAAACTAACAACAACTGCATATGCAATGAAACTTAGGCATAACAAATCATGGAATGACCCCAAATTGTGTAAGATCCAGCTGAATCTCATTATCGTCCTTTTAATTGATGCCATATAGAAAAGCTTTTTCAAGGTCAAATATCAAACACATTTTCTAAGGCGGAACTTTGATCTGTTAGCTAAGTACTTGCCTGGCTTTTGTTTCTAGTTCCCAGAGCATTTTTCTAGTGCTCATGTTGAATGCACCAGGATAAATAATCAAGTCAGCACCTGGCATTGCATACATAGTAGCTCATTTCGGGATTATGTATATTTCAAGCTCAGTAGTGCCACATTCAAAATGAGATATAATATAAGAACCTTTTGCTCTGTACAACATAGCAAGCTCTGGGAAGCGTATGTCATGATAGATACCGATCCCAATGCGGCCTACATCTGCAAACATATATACAATACATGCTATTCAGCTTAAAATGCACCAGAATCATGAGTCTTGAAGAAGTATATGTGCTTTTCTTTGACACAGTCTGAATTTTTAGCAGTATGTGTTAAAGGAATTTCATGGATACAACCAATCATTAAACATAAGTTACTTGCTGGGCTATCTCAGACAACATTGATGACAAATAGCATAAATTAATCACCCCCTAAAGAACAAAGTGAAATGTATACAGAATATATCAGTAGCAACACATGGAATCCTACAAGAATAAGCATTTGTTATCTGAGAGGGTAAACAATTAACATACAGAACAGATAATACTACTACAATGTTATTGTAAATTTTGGATATATACTGGAAATTCTGTTCAATGTCAGGAGTTATATCTAAGCCTTCATTCAAGTAACGTAGCTGATCAACACTACAATACCTGTGTCCACAATTGTAGGTGTGTCTCCAGCAGTGAATGAATCCAACTCCATAAATGAAGCTCCAAGTTCGTAATAATCGAACAAGTGAAACTAGGTGCTCGTGAAATCACTGAAGATAGTCTATATGATGCAAAAATCTGAGTATGACTAGAAAATTCTGTCAGGTTTGGATAAAGAACTGTGCAAAGAGGTTTAAGTGGCACAATCACTTAAAGTTCAATAGCAAATAGGTGCTCGTGAAATCACTGAAGACAGTCCATATGATGCAAAGAAACACGAGCTCCAGAAATCTATACAAGTGTTTTTACAAATATACTCACCTAAATCAGCATGGGGAACTCAAAAATATATTCTAAAGTTGCATCAAAAGCTGCTCACAAGTGACAACAAAATAGAGGAATGCTTCTACAACTACTAGAGGTCAGCAAGGATATTGTTAATCATGCAGTGGACTACCTCAACACAATATTCAGGCATGTGGACCAACAATTAGAGGAAGACACACAAATTGAGGTAGATGCAGATTAGATTGACCAGGAAGAACAATTGAAGAGCAACACATGGACTGCCACACATAACCATAAACGTTTGAGTATAATATGATGTAAGTTATGTTTTTTTTTTAAAATGTTGGTATGTGTATTTTGCTTATTAGGAAGAGAAAGTAGTCTAGGACAGTCATGTTTAAAGACAAAATTTATTGCTACAATGAAAGGAATCACTTTTTGTAATGGAACTAAAGTAGAAATTCATGCTTTCGATCAAGCAATGACACTCATGTTATTGTGTCATTAATTTGTTCCTTTACCCAAGCTAAACATATCACTCAAACCATTCTTTCAGAAGGTTTATTTTTTATCAACACATAATTTTCAAGTGATTTCCTCAACAACATATCTTTGACAAGAATATGTTTGAGCTAAACACACTTAACAACAATGGATCAAATGAATCCCTTCATCACATGGAAATCAAAACCACACATGAAAACCCAAAAAAAAAAGGACTCATTTTCACAACAGGGGGACTCAAATCATACAGGGCCAAGGGGATTGAAATCAAATTTTTGTTTTTTCACCCAAACGTTCTCTCATGCAAACATGTCATTGAGAACAAATCATAGAAAATCAATACAAATTCTCATCATTCATTAATCACATTTCCTAGCTTACCACACAACAGCAGGGTCTCATCTGTCACCAAGCACAGAACCAGAACAACCATGACAACAACAACACCAGCAACAATCAACCCCTAGAATACCAGCAACAATCAACAACAGATGCACCAACAATCAGATCAACAATGAGATCAACAACAAATAATTAATGAACTCAAACAACCATCACAAACCAAAGGAACTCAAGAGGCAACACCATCACCAAAACTCATTAAAATCAACACTTTCAACAATAAACAACATCAGGCAACACCTGTACAGGGACTCAAACAAAACCCATAGATTAAATGAAAAAAAGGTAGGGTTAGAGATTATTACTGAAGCTTTCATTTAGTTGGGGAAAGAACAACTCCCAACTCATCTTCTGAGTCCTCAACAAGGCCTCCTCCATCTACGTCTACAAAGTCTCCACCTTAAGCCTCAAGACCAACCATAGGCAGGGCAATACCTCCACCCACAAGCTGGGCCTCAACACTAGCACCTTGTGGAGGATTAACCCCCCCACATCAGGTGCAACATGGGACTCATCATCAGAGATCTCAATAACCTCAGACATCTTGACACCACGAATTCTGCTACGAGCAACCAACATCGCGCGACGGCATTTCAAACAATGTTACATCAATTAAACCCAAAATTTCAAAGCATTTAACATGAATAATTGGACCAAAAGACCAAAATATAACGCAAAGCTAAATAACCCAGAAACCCTAACCTCGAATTTTTGATTCTTGGTTCGAAATTGATTCGAATTTGTTGTTGTTGAAGATGCACGCACATCGAATTGATTCAAAGTAGATGCACCCAAAAACCCTAACCTCCAATATCATAGATTCTAGAAATAGACGGCGGCGGCGATGATGGTTGTCCTTGGTTCGAATTGACGCCGATTTTCGAAGGAGGGCAGAAGGTTGTTTAAGGCCGATTTCTTCAGTAGATTAGGGTTTTTTTGAGAGAAGAGAGAGATAAGACGGAAGAGGGGAAACAAAAAGAACGAAGAGGGGAAATAAAAAGAAGGAAAAATTGACGGAGAATTTCGAGTACGCTTCAATGGAGGGGAGAGAGAGGCAGATGAGAGAGGAGGAAAGATCGAGGATGAAAGAGAAAAAAAAGTATGATCGAGTTTTTTTTATTTTTTATTTAGTAATAGCTTTCGCACCGGTTCGAACCGAACCGATGCGATTAACTCATTTTTCGCACTGGTTTGGTTAGAACCGGTGCGAAAATCTTTCCCGTTTTTTTCACACCGGTTTTTAAAAACCGGTGCGCATTTGGCGATGCTCATTTAAGTTTTTCTACTAGTGGTTCTACATCATGCTTCTAGTCAGCTGAATAGTGAATGATCCATCTTGGAACATTTTGTAATTATTTTAAAGCCGAGTGTGGCTCAAACTTTGGTCTGGAATAGCTCTAACTTCTATTTTGGTACAAACTTAGTTCATGGAAATGTATCTGGTAATCAATAGTTAATGGTAGGGGCTGGATGCCCACTAAGCCATCAGCCACCTTGAGTATGGAAGGTGCATTTGTAATTATGGCCTAGGCCAGCAACTTTATTATTATTAATCTATGTTCTGTTTCCTACCAAAAAAAAAAAAAAAAAAAAAAAAAAAAAAAAAAAAAAAAACCAAAGCTATAGCTGTTGTACGTGCTGCTTTTCATTGTCAAAGAAAAAAAAAATGGAGATGAAAAAATAAAATAAATGAGTAGCTAAGAAGGTGATAAACATACATATGCAAGGTAGTCATCAGATCAAATGAAATATGATAACTAATGGTCTAATGGAAATGAAAACTCTCTTGGTCCTGTTCGTGATGTGATACTTCGTGCCGTAAAATGGGATTTTTCAAAGTGAATTAATATATATTAATTACACTTGTTTGCCTTATTGCTAGTTACAAGCTAGTACGTGACAAAAAATTTCATATATATATATATATATATATATATATATATATATATATATATATATATATATATATATATACTTATACTTAAACTATACGAAGTATAGTTCACTTTGACTTTTGCAAATCTATACCAAATTAAAGATACAGAACTACAATTAAAAATATGGAATGCCTCCATATTGATATGTTGTGATGCAAAATAGCACACCAACATTAATAATAAGTATTGAAGTAGATGCTTAGAATAAATATTGATGGTTTTGAAGAGTTCAAGTATATGTAATGCAGCAAACTAATTCGAATTAAACGGCTTGAAATGGTCATCTAGCACCCTAGTAGGAAATGTTCAACATTATTAATTATGTGGACTTTAGTTCTAAAAAATTTAGTAATTCAATAAGAGGTTAGATAGATTAACCACAATGCGTTATTCGATCTTTTTGCTTTGTAGTGTACGTAGTTGCTACATGAAGCTTGTGCCATAGTAGTGCACTTGTGCTAACTATTAGTTCAACGCTAATGCACGGTACATATATATTGTTTGCGAAGAATTGCGCGCTCTGGTCTATAATTGTATCTAACATTTTCCTATCAAAAAATTAAAAACGCATTGTGCATTTCATGAATTTAAGAAGAGGTGCAATCACTTAATAGACTACCATTATAAAGTCATTGTGAGTCATTCCTTGTATTCGCAATATAGTTCCTAACTGATCTTTCATGTGCCATAGTTGTGTACTTTTTTCTAGTTATATGGCGCAAAACAATCATAAAAGCATGTTGAGCTTGATATGTAGTTTCTGAGAAATAGCTATAACTAATTGTATAATTTACATGATCCTTATATTAAGCTGATCATTAATTAATTGATATGCTAATATTATTATTTATCCCACATATATACTTCGTATAGCATGAAATTACTAGTGACTTATGGAGTACCAAATAATAATTATCTAATAAGTCAATTTAAATGTAATTAATAAATAACGGGGCAGAAATTAAATTTCAAAATGGTAAAAATTAGTTCACTGGTGCGTGTATAAATATTTTTAATTATTATAAGCATAAGCATGCATAGCTACTCTATGAAGAATAAGAAAAAGGATTATTAGTAACATTAACTAATGAATTTTCGGGTGATAATTTACATGCATTTTGCAAGCACACCTCAGAATATGTACAAATAATTGTGTTTTTAGCTTAAGAATTGAGCCGGTGAACAAAGTTTTCCTGTTGGTAATACCAACTTTGCATGAAGTATCATTTTCTTGGTTACTTCTTCCGACAACCTTATCATTTTCTCCTCTACCACCTTTATTTCCAACACCTCCTCGCCTTCACCACCCTCGAGTTTCGAGTCAGGCCCATCCGACTTGGGTTGGGCCTGACAGTGTGGGCACGAAGGTGAGCAAGGATCCACCAAACACATGGTGTGGTACACGTGACCGCACGTGGGAATCAAACGCAGCGTTTCATCTTCGTCCTTGATTACTCTAAGACAATTTGTACATGTCAAATTCATCACGGTCGATTTCCCTAGGAAGGTTTTCACGGCAGAGTAAGGGACAAACACCAAAATGTTCTTGGTGCCGCATGTGTGACCGTCGGACCCGACATTATTCGGATCACCGGTGTTTGCTCGTCGCTTACATTGTTCCCGACTCTGGCGAATGTAGACACAACCAAAATAGATTAAGAAGCAGATAATGATTTCTACAGCAACAAGAACCAAAGCTAAGAATTGCATGCTTAATGGATAAAGCTAGAGGAAGCTAAAGAAAATTAAAAGTTGCTACTTAAAATAAAGGTCGTTAATTTTCTGTTGAAGTGGGTTTGAAGTAATCCACAAGATGAATGAAGATTGAAGGGTTATATATAGTTTGCTATGTTTTAACACGTAAATATACACAAAAATGTTGACCATTGACTGATTAAAATAATTTACGTATAGTACAATTAATAATGTCAAGTGGGAACGTAATAATAAACTTGATGAGTGGAATATAAGAATCAAATCCAGGAGATTTCGAAGAGAATTCGTAATTGTACTTGTATAAGATTGTAATATAATTATGGCTGATAGAATTAAATTCAGGAGATTTTGAAGAGAATTCATAATTGCACTTGTACTTTTAATTTGCACTTACTAATTATTATATATCTTTGATTTAATTCATATTTGAAAAATACAAAATATTGTGTATCTATTATCTAATAACTGCCTTTCAAAAAAATATCTCATATTCTCATGTGGTCTTGTCAAAAAAAAAAAAAATAAATAACTCATGTGATATTATATAACGGGGTATCCTTGTATAGCTGTATAGTAGTATGTAGACTTGATCAATGTTGGCCCGACTTGAAATATGTAGAGCTGGGGAAGATTTTTGGGCCCGAATTTTGACCTCCGCCCTAATTTTCTTAATTCATTTTTGGTTTTAGACAGCCCAAACATTCATAGTTTAACATTAGGCAAAATATTATTTTGCCCCGAAAATCCCGCCATTTTTGATCCAAAATGACAGGTTTGGACATGGCTCGTGAGTCGTGATTACGTCTACTAATATGTATACGTATAAATTTAAAAGTTAGTTAAATTTCAAAATCCAATCAATGAAATGATTAGATCAAATGAATTTAACATAGCCTATATTATTAAATAAATTCAACTGTTGGCAATAGAAAATTAACTAAACTTTGAATGATTAATTATTTGCTTTGACCAGTCTAAATTGATGGTTAGATTTATTTGAGCTTTGTTTATTCGCTTAAGCTATGCAATGGCAGCGCAATTAGTGCACGTGTCTACCGCAGCCGATGTCCCACCAATGGTGTTAAGCATGATGATCAATTTTGTACCGCTTTAATATTGGCAACAGCAGCCACTTAGCCCACATTGTTGTGGATCCAATATACCAGATGAATAATCCTGAAGTTAACATTGTGGATCCAATATACTAGACGACTAATCCTTAACCTTAAATAACTTGAGTTATTAATGACTCTAATAATACTCATTGGTGTTAATTTGTATTTAAATGTTATCATTTTAATATAAATAAGTAAATGATTCTATTAATACTAACAAAAGACTTCAGTTATATATTAGAGATAGATATTTCTCATATATGATGAACTAAGCAGTGGCGGTTCCAGTATGGATTTAGTGGGTTCAACTGAACTCATACTGAATTTGGGGAAAATACATAATTTAGAAATAAAACAAATTTAAGATAAATAGAAATACAACTATCATATGATAGTATGCATTGTCCGTGGTTTTGGTTTGTTGCTTTATAAGATAAATAGCCTATTAATTTCTATAAATTTCTATGATTGGTTTGTTGCTTTATTTGATTTTCATCATATTGTTTTTACTTTTTATTAAAAATTAAAAAATATTTATGTTTATTTTTACACAATCGTACTTTTTGATTATCTGATCTATTTTATTTTGTTAACTTGACATGTTATGTACTGCCCTGTAAATTTCAATAATTATTTTTGCTTCATTTCGCGTTTTACTAAATATTTTTTCCTTTTCATTAAAGTCAAAGCATGTGAAGTATTTTATTTTACACAATCATACTCTTATTTTGTACAAGTATTGTATTATATTTATTGTCATACATCGATCAACTAGATTATTTTATAAACTTCGAGAATCCGAACCCATAAGGAAAAATTCCTGAAACCGCCACTGGAACTAAGAAAGCGGGTTCGAACCCCATGCCAAACCCATTTTGCTTTTATTTTTTGTTAAAAAAAACTGCACATTTTATATACTACTCCGTAGCCTATTAATTTCTATGATTGGTTTGCTGCTTTATTTGATTTTCATTATATTGTCTTTACTTTTTATTAAAAAGTATTTATGTTTATATTTACATAATCGTACTTTTTGATCATCTAATCTATTTTATTTTGTTAACATGACATGTTATATACTGCCCTATAAATTTCAATAATTAGTTTTGCTTTATTTCGTTGTTTTACTTAATATTTTTTCCTTTTCATTAAAGTCAAAGCATGTGAAGTATTTTATTTTACACAATCATACTTTTATTTTGTACAAGTATTGTATTATATTTATCGAAATACATCAATCAACTAGATTATTTTATAAACTCCGAGAATCTGAACCCATAAGGGAAAATTCCTGGAACCGCCACTGGAACTAAGAAAGCGGGTTCGAATCCCAAGGCAAGAGCAAATGAGCAATTAGTTATTTTCTTAAATTGCATGTCTATAGTAAATGGATAAAACATAAAAGAATGGAGTATTACTTGCATTGTTTTGATGAAATAATAATACTCCATATGTTTAATAACATTAACAGATGAGTAAAAATGTGATTAATTAAAGTTTAAAAGGTTAATTAGAATGCAACATATGTCATGATGACCAACTAAAAGATCCATGTTCCAAATATATGTATATGTATATATACAAATTATTGGGTGCAGCAATCCACACCCAATAGTTTGTGCGGCAGTCCAAAAAGAAGCCCAATATTCCTCTAGACTCTAACCTATCTAACAACACCATCACAAGATGTATTCCTCAATCTTCAATTTCTTAATCTTCTTCATCAAATCAACAACGGCAGGAGCAATCATCGCAACAATCTTCTCTCACCTCGTGGTCTAGATTTGGTGGTGGCGATTTGGTTGGCTTTGTGGCAATTTGGTGCGAATTGGTGGCAATTAAGTGGTGGCGATTTGGTGGCGATTCGTGGCTCAATTGCGGGTTGAAGTTGGAATAATGGTGGCGATTTGATGCGATTGGTGGCAATTTGGTGTGTGTGGGTTAACATGGGTAGTTTTGCACGGCTTTGGTGGCGATTTTATGTCGCTTGGTGGCTCAATTGCGGGCTGAAGGTGGAACGGTGGTGGCGATTTGGAACGAAGGAGGCAGTGGCAGAACCAAGGGGGGCTGGCGTGGGCCATGGCCTCCCCCTTGGTTTTGTTTATTTATTATATGTTGTACAAGCTTATATCAAATGCACAATGGCTGGGTTGGTATTAAAGTATTGAATTTGTTTTAGAGGTCCTAAGTTCAAAGCTTGTCCCTTGCATTTTTTTTAGGCTTTTTTTTTTTTTTTTTCGCAAAAGTTAAGTATATATACTAAGTTTACTTTTTAGTATTTTGTATAATAAGGTTATAGCACAAGTGCACAACTCTTGACATTAAATTCCTTTCCCATATCTCTCCATTTTTTTTTTAATAATACTTGATCTTATTATTTTTTCCACATTTCAACATTATAATTGTGTACAAGATACAAGGACATATATTAGTTTGGCCCTTCTAATAAAAAAATTTTGGTTCCGCCCTTAAAAGGAGGGGAAGTGAGGAACTAAAGAATTCATTAACAGATTCTGAATAATCCTGGTGCTACTTGAAGCACTTTATCTCCATCCATATGAATGAAGTTGTTTATATTATACCGTGATTTGTGGTGAGGATGCGTGGGATTTGTGGTGAGGATTTTATTTGTTTGTTCCCATTCTCATTTGAAGGAGAGAGAAAGAAAAAGAGGAGAGAGAAGGAAATATTTATTATATACTTTGTATGTTGTTAATCATACAAGACAATAAATGATGCATATCAGCCAATAAAAATAATATATTAGCCAATTGATGTATCTATCAGTCAACATTAGGGACATATCATACATTAATAAAAACGCATAAGCCAACAAAAGGAATATATCAGCCAACAAAAGATACATATCAACCAACAAGAGGAATATATCAGCCAACAAAAGGTGCAAATAAGCCAACAGAAAAAACATATGAGCCAACAAATGAAGCATATCAGCCAACAAAAGGATGAAATCATCAAACAAAAGCAACAAGTATCATCAAAATGAAATATATAGGCCAACAATTAAAATATACATATCAACCAACAAAATAAAGATATAAGCCAACCAAAGAAACATATCAGCCAACTGATGTCTAATAGCAGCCAACAAAAGAAACAAATGAAAAATTAAAAAAAAAAAAAAACAAAACATATCAGCCAATAAAAGGTGAATATTAGCTAACACAAAAATCATATCAGCCAATTAATGAAACATATCAGCCAACACATGAAACATATCTGCCAACAACTGAAATATATCAGCCAAGCCTGCAGCACGCAAATTTTCGTGCGGCAGTCCGCACCCAATACCTTCTCATATATGTATACTTCCTCCATTTTTTAAATATTGCACCACTTGTCTTTTAACACTACTAGAAAACACCATTTGCGACAAAAAATATCCGTCGGAAAACCTTCTAAATCCGTCGGAACACGTTGTCGGAATTCACTTCGTAGGAATTTTGGCTAATACCGAGGGATTTTCCGTCGAAAATTACCATACCGACGGAATTTCCGACGGATTTTAAATTGTCGAGCCTATGTTTGACCAAAATTGGAAGTCCGTCGTAAGCTTTCGACGGAACATATTCCGTCAGAAAGTTTCTCAAGTTCCGACGGAATATTCCGTCAGAACCGTCCAACCTTCCGACGGAATATATTCCGTCGGAAGCTAAGCTCTTTCCGACGGATATTTCCGTAGGAAGAAGGCAACTTTCCTACGAAAATTTCCGTCGCAACCTTCCTATGGACATATTTCCGTCGCAAACTACTGACGGAAAAGTCCGTCGGAAACTTATACCCATTGCGATGGATTTTAATTCCGTCGGAACTTTGCGACGGAAATAACGACGGAACTATTTCGAGTTTGACTATTTT